AATCAAACCGAGTCTGCAATTCTCTTTTATGTTGTTCTGATTAATGCTTCCGACGGATCACTTTATTTCCAGATTTTAAAAGTAGAAAAAGAAAAATGTCAATTCTTTCACGAGACGATTACATATTGTGGTCATGAAATTGATGAAAACCGTCTATGGAAATGTAAAGTCAAGGTGGATTCTATTTTAAATACACCACCGACACAAAATGTTACATTTCTAAGGTCATATCTCATATAACTAAATAACTATCACAGGTTCTTAAATGACCTACCCATAGTAATTTAACTGCTAGAAAGAGGCCTAAAGAAATAAAAAGATTTGTTTTACGTCTTAGCCCGTTCTTGTGCATTATGATCAGAAATTACCCGTACGGTTAAGAATGGATGCTTCCCCTGTCGGTATTTCTATAATAATATCACATGTAATGTCCGATGGCAGTGAAAACCAATTGCATTTGCAAGCCGTTCGCTATCAAAGTCTGAAAGAATGTACGCATAAGTTCAAAGGGAAACTACTGCAATTCACGCCTATAGCAGACTGTTTTTCTTTTGACAAAATACAGAGTTACTGCCCTTTGATACTTTTCCTTGTCCGGAGCATAACTCAAAACGTACTGGTTGGAATTCAAAACAACTTCATGCAATGGTCAAACACAATAAGAGGAAGTGCAGTGCACAAGAACTATAACTCCATCTTCAGTTTTTTTAGAGTTATTGCCCTTTGTTCCTTTTCTTTGTCTTTCTAGAGTAATTCAATAAAACTTCATCAATGGCCAACCACATTGAAAGGAAATGCAACATACAGAACCACAACTATCTTTAATTGCCCACAACCATAACTCTATAATTCAATTCTGTTACAAGGTATTCTGTTACTAGTAACATCCTCATTTCCGTATTAATCACATTTAGTGATAGTTCCAGTTAAAATTAGAAAATGCAATTATGATGAAGATTTTTTCAATGAACTATCTAACTAGTTCGCAGATCAAGCGTGAAGCAAATCGAAAACCTATTTTATCGCGCATTTACGATGTAAAGAAGGGTGGGATGAACTTAAATGACCCTGTCCTGGAAGGTTATCAACGAATTAACTATTAAAAGAGGCTGTTTGATGTAGATAATTAGAATTGTTATTCCTGAGAAACAACATAACAGGTTGATAACAAGTGCCGAAAAAACAGTCAACGTATTGATGACGTATGGTATACTAGAACAATTGTTAAGCGATTATGTCAGATTTGTTTGGTGCCTTCTGGGTGCCCTACTTGAGTGTGCCGGGGGCTGCGTCATGTGAACGTTGCCTTTGCCTTGTTGATCTTTATTCTTGTCTTGTTTGCGCAATATATGAAACATTACGGTATGTATTCATATTAAAACCTCAGTTGCTAAACCATCCACAAATGGTTTAGTGGAACATTTGAACGGGACTTTTAAGTCAAGCACTCGAGCTTTAATTTTTGATAAAGGAGACTGAATCTAAAGTTGTCTAATTTCTTGTCAACATATCGCAATTATGTGCAGCAAAGCACACAGGAAAGTCCTGTCGTTATGTTGATTGGCAGGAATTTGCAAATAAGTTAGACTTAAGAATGACGCAACATCGGAATCGCGAAATTTCCGAAAGTTTAAAGAAGGAGACTCAAAAAAAGCGCGAGACTATAGACCAACTTCAACCGATAAATGGTTGCCGGGTACAATTTACTCCCGCGAGTGACCTCTCATGTATAAAATATATATCGGTAACAATCAAGTCCGGAGTAGGCATGTTGACCAGCTACGAAAATCAGAAATGAATAAGGAAGTATCTCTCCTCACAATTTCACCATTAAACATAAACCCATTTATTTGTGCAGAAATGCCAGCAATAACTGAGAGAAATGACCCTTTGTTAGTGACTGGTAATCCTGAGACAATGCTATCATTAAATTAGCACGCCTCCAAATTCATGCTAATTTTCATGAAAATTTTGAAAATATATTTGAATGTATAATATTGTGAAATAGTCAAAAAAGAGCAATTTACACATTTTTTGGCACTTACAACCAACGTTAATTATAAAAAATGGTCAAAATATGCATAAATAGCCCTTACTACGTTAGTAACACAGTAGAAATATAGTTTTAAATACTAAAAAATCAGTCGTTAATCGCACATAACATGTAAAATATTTCTTGAATCTTGAATAATTTTACTTTTCATAAAATCTAAGTACATTTTTCTCAAGTTTGATTTTATTGAAAATAGTTTTACTCATCTGGTAGCATGCAGCTTTAAATGAGAATTATCTTAGATTAGATTAAATGTTAAGGGAACGAGGATACCCATTGAGAGAACGCTGTTATGTTGTTACTAACACATGTACAAATATTCTTAATGAAATATGTTTAAACTCAACCACCTAATCGTTTCTCATACTGAGTTTATTACGTAACTGTATAAACATTCGAGAGCATGCAAACAGGATATGTGCTATCTGATTAACATTACACTACTTCTTGTACAATGTCACCAAATGAGCTCGTGTGAATCAAATACAGAATGGTGACTCCGTTTAGAAACATACTGATCAGCGCAATGGGGCACCGACAAATAAACTCTAACTCTAATTAACATATGTAATAATGAAATACTTTTTGCTACTGTATTGAAAAGTATTCTGTTAATTATACGAGAAATGATGATATCATTTGTTAGCATTATAAAGATTTTTTGACTGTTTTGCTGTGATTAAAATAACAATCTAGTTAAATAGTATCAAAATAGTATCAAAAGATTCAATTGGGTATTACAATGATTCCAATGAATAAAGCGGTGTTCTTTTTTTAAGAAAAAACATAAAAAGGTATATGTTTATTTGTTTATTTAAGTATCTTTCTCACATTTACAAATGCAGTACATAAAATTCATATACATTTAAAATACATATAGACATAAAAATGCATTATGACCAGTTCCACTAAATAATGGCCAGAAAATATTGTTGTATTCTGCACCTATGAATGCAATTCCGCTTAAAACTTGGAAAATTTGAACCATCAATATATAAGAAAATAGACAAAATTGTTTGATTTGTCTTATATTAAAGCCCATATTCATTTTAGATCAAACACCTCTCGGTAACCCAAATATAATGTGTTATCTTAATAGTTTGGCTATGAACGTGTCTAAAGTGCTTTGCTTTCATTGATACTCTACAACCAGCATAGATTCATCCCTATACAAATAAGTTTTTTAGAAAAAACTTCGATAGAGACAGATGTCATGATATTACAAAATGCTGGTCTAACGTTTGGTGTGTTCTACCGTATTTGAGAGTTAGCTCTCACGCACCAACAATTCATCAGTAAATGCTTTCCTACAAATCATTTTCTACATATAATTATTATTGTTACAGGCATTCTTACAAGAATTTGTATTATGTATCTTAATCTTTCCAATAAATGACTTGTAGGCGAGATCTATTGAGTGCAATAAAACATAAAAATAACAGGTTCGATTGAGAAATCATGGACCGCGTTCAGTACTATTCAATATTTTTTGCTAAACAAGTATACAAATCTTTTCCATGAACATTAACCCTTTCCCCCATGAGCATATTGTGGAAAATGGCCATTTTCACTGAAAAGCCTCCTGTTACAAGTTCAAACTGCTATGAAACTATGAAAAATGCTTCAATACTAATCAAACTTGGCACAAATGTTGACTGGACCATTGCCTTTGTAACGGCATGCTCAGTCTTAAATTTCCTGTTACCATGGCAACGAGGGGGCATCTCAAAATTGCCCAAAATCACTATTTTGCCTCGATTTTTTCCATCAAAACTTATTTCAAAGTGCTGCAACTTCTCAAGGGATTGAGATAGAGTCAAAGGCTTTTCAGCGTTGGTTACACGTTACATTATGATCGACCTGGGGTCATTTTTAGCCTCTCACAAGTCCAAAATTTTCTTGGCGATGAGGGGGACTCCGCCCCCCTTCAAACCCCCCTAACAGAAGGGGGCACATCCCCCTTCTGGCAACCCCCTGATGTATCTTTTGGATGGGGAGCGGCGCCGAAAAAGTGCTCAATTTTTTAAGCAACATTTCTCAAACGAAAACATGTGTTTGGGGCCCAAATAGGACATTTTTTCACTCTTTGAGGCCTAAAAAAGGGGGGGGGGGGTCGAAAGTGCGTTGTTTCGCGTATATATGGGGTAAAGGGTTAACAAAAAATAATGAAAAACTTTGAAATCACCTAAAAACTAGTTTTTCCATGTTAACATGTGGTCTTTCACCTAATTTTGGTGAAAAATTGTTGTTTTGTAACATTTATAATTTTTTTAGTTAACCCTTTCCCCCATGAGCATATTGTGGAAAATGGCCGTTTTCACTGAAAAGCCTCCTGTTACAAGTTCAAACTGCTATGAAACTATGAAAAATGCTTCAATACTAATCAAACTTGGCACAAATGTTGACTGGACCATTGCCTTTGTAACGACATGCTCAGTCTTAAATTTCCTGTTACCATGGCAACGAGGGGGCATCTCAAAATTGTCCAAAATCACTATTTTGCCTCGATTTTTCCATCAAAATTTATTTCAAAGTGCTGCAACTTCTCAAGGGATTGAGATAGAGTCAAAGGCTTTTCAGGGTTGGTTACACGTTACATTATGATCGACCTGGGGTCATTTTTAGCCTCTCACAAGTCCAAAATTTTCTTGGCGATGAGGGGGACTCCGCCCCCCTTCAAACCCCCCTAACAGAAGGGGGCACATCCCCCTTCTGGCAACCCCCTGATGTATCTTTTGGATGGGGAGCGGCGCCGAAAAAGTGCTCAATTTTTTTTAGCAACATTTCTCAAACGAAAACATGTGTTTGGGGCCCACATAGGACATTTTTTCACTCTTTGAGGCCAAAAAAAGGGGGGGGGGTCGAAAGTGCGTTGTTTCGCGTATATATGGGGTAAAGGGTTAACTATTTGAATATTGTATGACAAAAAATGTTTAATGCTTATTCTTATATTACTGTATGGTAATAATATAACACTTTTAAAAAGAAAATAATGTTTTATTGTGATTAATGCTGCAAAGATATTGAAAGAATAACAAGAAAACACGGCAATTGAAACAAACCTTAATAATAAAATCAGTGAAAATACTGGTATTTTCATAACGATTTAGAGTATATCTATTTGTAAGACTTTTAACAAAAATGATACGAAAAGCGATTCACTTTAACTTGCAGCAGGGTAGATAAGTATTTAAGCTTGCCAACTTTCCTACTTGTATCACTGATTTATATCGCAGTGTTTTAGTTCTCTAGTTTTTTTAGTTGTTTTCTAATTCAGAAAACTTTTGCACGGGAAAAAGTTGCCTTTCTGGCGTGTAGTTCTAACAAGGCTTTTTTACTAACGGTATTGTTAAACATTATGCTGTGTGGACCTGTGACGGGGTTTGTAGAGCACTCTCTTTTCTTTTAGACAACATTAATGTCGGGTTTGGTGGTGCCCTATTTAAACAAATCATGGGAGTTCCTATGGGTGCTGGTTGTGCACCCCTGGTCGCCGATTTGTTTTTGTGCTGCTGTGAGGGAGACTTTGTGTTGGGTCTCTCTGAAGATAGACAACAAGATGTTATGGTCGCATTTGGTAATACTTCTGGATGCCTTGATGATATTTTTAATTTAGATAATCCTTATTTTGATCAAATGGTGTCTGACATTTATCCGCATGAACTGCAGCTTGATAAAACGAACTCTTGAAATTTTGGTACATCATTTTTGGGTCTTCGTCTTGCTGTCGGCAGCGGTTCTGTTCGCACGAGGATCTGTGGTAAAAGAGATGACTTTGACTTTTGTATGGGTAATTGTCCACATTTGGATGAGGGCGTGCCCCGTGCGACGTCTTGCGAGGTTTGTGTTTCTCAATTAATTGGATTCGCTAGGGCTTGTAGCAGCGTAAAGGATTTCAACGAGCGGAATATTTTTATTACCAGCAAGCTTCTAAAACAGGGTTACCGCTATCATAAATTACGGAAATATTTTACTAAATTTTGCAGTCGTGGCTTTGATTTGGTTTCTGAGTTCGGTGGTGGTTTGGGGGCTCTTCTGCGGCGGTGGATTGGCCGGCCTGGTTTTTGTGGCGATGTGATTTACAAACTTCGTAAGATTTTGGGTCATGGTAATTTTTCTGCTGTTTTTACTAAAATCATTGGACGTTTTATTGAAAGATGTTATGATCCTACTATTTTAAGACATACTGCATGTTTAGTGTTCAACCCTTTTACAGTTGGACACTACGCTTTCCTCTTTTGATTGCATCTGAGCAAGTGGGAGACTCTATGATGGATAGTTCGTAAAGCCCTTTGGGGCTGAATTGTCTTAATGTTCGTCTTCTGCCTTGCTTCGTCGGGCCCTTGTAGGTGATTTTCTTGTTGCTCTGTCTTCCTTTAGGACATTGAGTACTTTTGTCATGGTCATTGGGTTTACTTCTATATGTTTCTAAATGATCATTTTTGTGTTTTACTTATTTAACCTTTTGTAACCATGACAACTGTTAGAATTTCACTTGGCGGGGATTCATTTTATTTACACTGTCTCGTTTATAGGAACATGGTGGGGCTAAGAGCGAGGTTTGGTGCACCATTAACCGGTTTAAACTCCCCAGCAGTCATTATTATGCTGCTGACCGTTCCAAGGCGGCGCCCCACTCTGTTCCTCAGATGTATGTCTATGTTGTTTCATACTGTTTTGGTGACACTTTTGCTTGTGTCCCTTGTTGTTTTCTCGTCTACGGTAAGTATCTTCCCCATTGCCTCTAGTTTTTATTTCTTTTATTAAACCCCCCTTCCCCCGGTCTCCTGTCCCCTTCCCCTTTGTGGGCCTTTTATTATTTTCTTTAAATTCTTAATCATTTATAAATTATTTATTATTTAATGTTTAACCTGTCCGTGCTCTGTCTTTGCCCTGTCCTGTTTTTGTTTGGGGTCCGCCTGGGCTCCTTGCCATTGGTTCTTGTTGCTGGGTCATATGGGGGTTGCGTTCATTGAACGCCGCCTTTCCTTGTTGATCTTGTTTATCATATTTTATATTTGTGTTTTTGTATTATAGATTGAATTTTAAATTAAAATTAACTACATAGACAGTGTGTTGCCATACGTGATAGTTATTCGCAAAAATATCTTTCAGTTTATTTTGAAACTCAACTGTATCTTCTGCTGGACTAGGCTGATTAATCTGATAAACCCAAACATATAAATAAATTTTCAAAACCATTAACTCATTTATCTGTTTAAAAGTATTCCCAAAAAAGTATCCCATCTAAGACCATTTGCGAATATATGCGAAGAACCAGATGTTTGTACCCACACTCTTTCTCCTGTCTTCAGCATCGCAACAGTGTTCACTGAATTACATGTATGTACGTTGTCCAGATCGTGCTGCGTACTAACCGCAATGGACTCACCATCCCTTACTATCTTGTAATGTACAACTTTATTTCCATAGTTACATAAATGTGCAGAAAAGAAATAAAGTCCATCTTGGGATACAGAGAAAATTCCAGAAGTTTTGTCATAACCTTCACCTGCGTTCATTAATACGTCATCAAATACGACCTTCACGTTTGAGCCTAAACTGACTGTTGACGAAAGACGAGTATTAAATGCAATCTTTGGAATGTGGGCCTTCTCTGCAAAATAAAATGTGACAGGTCTTGCAATATCTTATCTCTAAGTTAACGGAAAATTTGCTCATAATTTGAAAATTATAATTACATTTATACAAAAAATACATGATATAGTGTTAAAATCTGAAAAGCTTTTCTTTTAAGAATACTACTAGGATGATAATCTTGATGATGAAATAATTAATAACCTGACAATGCAGTTATCTTCGCCCTTTCTTGTTCAATTTTTTCAGCAAACTTGTCTATTGTTTTGTTGATGTTACTATGAAACTCGTGACTGTTTTGTTCAGCATTTTTTACCGCCCGTGTAACGTCGTTCGTTAATGCCAAAACATCATTCTTTGTTTTCTTAATTTCATTAACCATTTGTTCCATTTTAACTTCCATTCGTATCATTTTCTCCAAAAGCTTTTCCTCGTAGTCAAACTTTGAACATGCTGGTTCATTCCTTGCCACAGCCACATGCTGATGGCAAAAGAAAACAACATATGCAGACAGATATGAGAGAAAATACATCATTTCACTTTGACGATTAAACGAAAATTTCGCCTTTTTATATGAGGCATCTCAACCTCATGACTTAAATATACTGATGGTATTTAAGAACGTGACGGTCTATATTTTAAGACTGTAAATAATCAAACTTTATTTCCCCCGCTTTGAATGTAGAACATTCGATAAAAAGTGTAAAGGTATCAATATCAAAGTACATCAAAATCGGGCCAATAACAGTTTAGAGTACGGCCAGATTCAACAATAATGACAAGGACTAATCACTTTTGGTTCCAGCAGGTGATGTGAAGCAGGTGTTTAATTCCGAGGGATAATCTTACCTTTAATATATTGATGGCTCATAGACTGGCGTTCTTTGATGTGTTGCCGTTGGTCTCGATGATTTTATACAGGACTGAAGAACATTGTGTTCAGTTTAATTAGTATATGATCTTTATTAATTGATTATTTCAATGACGGACTTCCTATTTGTAAAGTATCAGATGACAAGATTCTTGTTACGATATCGACAATCTATTCTTACAGCATTCTTATATGTTGCACTGACCAAAAAATCTTTTATGATTTTAAATGTTTACCTAAAAGAAAATTACACATATCTCAAGTTTAACTTGAAGGTATGAATTGTTTCTAAAATATAAAATTTAGTACTGTTCTTCAACTATCAATGGTGCATTGACAATCAAATAAACGTTTGAAATAGATTTTGATATTCAAATCTTTCAACTTATTTAAATAAACTAAAGAAACATTTCTTGCAATAATGTTCGGACCTAATGGAAATTCACAAAACACATTTTTATGATGGATATGTTGGCCAATAAATAATTAAGATTTTAGAACAACCAATAAATGGTTAAAATCATTGACGTATTTTTAAGTGTAACATCTCTCGCGCCGACTCAAGCTTAGCTCTATTCTAAGTATTTAAATCAATGATCCTAATGAATATATAAATAAATATAACAACACGCATTTTCCATTTGTTTCTCTAAGTATGAAGATTATATTGCTATTTCATATTTATTTCATTAATGATATTTGTAATCGTTTCATTGTTTTTATTTATTTCATTTTTCCTAATGTAAAGATATGCCACTTGGCCATTTTTTCCTTATCATGAAACATTTCAAATGAGTACTTATGAAAACATATGTAACTTTGATCGAAATTGAATAAGATGGATATTTGTTCGTTTATAACTAATTTGAGGACATGCCACATTTAGAGCTATCAAGACAGATCTGAGCAGGAAAGTGATATAGAGTGTGGTGTGATGCTGTGAAAACACTCTTTACTAGTTCCTCAGTGTTTGTTCTCAATGACGGTTTAAATACAAATAATAACATCATCTTTCTCAAGAATATCAGAAGAAGACATATTGGCGCTAAGTTTTACAAGCATCACTGAAACGAAAATCGTTATTTCTAAAAGATGATAGTATACAAATATGGACCTTCTAGCTGGTGAATATGTGACATGTACTGAAAAAAAATTAATATTGACCGAGGCGATATATCACATCATATTTACCAGCTAAAAGTACATATCTGTTCTATTATATAATTTATAAATAGCTTTTGTATGGCTTATCAAATCTGCTATTGAATACGAAGGAACATTTCTCCAGCTTATTATTTTTTTCATAAGCAGACTCTATATTAAGTATATTTAAAAGAGAGCATGGGAACGCTCAATTCGTAACTAAAACACACCAAATTGACTTCTATTTACGATTCACTCAACGTTTTTTTTTATTCAGAATAATAATAATAGACTTGATGTGGCGTCATGTCATAACCTCGCGTCTTTGGGGGATTTCCAGAAAATCTATTTTTAGAAAAAAAAGATGAATATACTCTGAGAATCTATTTTTAGGAAAAAAAACAGTGAATATATTCTGATAATAACCTGTAATTTTTTACAAAAGGTTGCTTCTTAGCCAATCATCGAAAGGCATTTCAAAGTTATTTATAAATTATTTTATAATTTCTGATATATAATTCTTATCTACAGTAGAGGTACTTTGTACAGATGATTACAATTCTGTAAAATACAATTTGCTGCTATATTGAACAGTATTCCGTTAATTGTATCAAAAATGACGATATCATTTGGCTTCATATTTTTTTCGCCTGTCTGACTGTGGATAAAATAACAATCATAGACAAAATTTACAATTAAAAATGCATTATTACCAGTTATACTAAATAATGGCCAGAAAATCATTGTTGCATACTGCGTCTATGAAAGTTATTTTGCTGAAAACTTGTTTTCATCTTGTGGGAACTGACAAATAATTTTATTATAAGGCCTTTCATTTCGAAATTGTTGTCCCGATCAACTAGTATCGTATGTATATACAAACTGTTTACATTGGCGTTGAATAATTTTATCAATCTTTTCAATCTGGCTAACATAAAGTTCAGATATACTTATTTCTTGTATATAACGTTATTTATAGATGATTTTAATCAAACTGTCTATCTATTGTAACTAATGTAAGTGTTAATAACAATTAAACATATTTCTAAACATAACATGATCTTCTGATTTGGAATATTGGAATAGTTTTAACCATCTATATATGAGATAATATATAACGTTTTTTGATTTGCCTTATCAAATCCTCTGTTTATTTTAGATCGAACACCTCTCGATAACCGCAATATCAGGTGTAATCTAAATAGTATGGCTATGGATATGTTAAAAATGCTTTGATTTTATTGAAACTTTACATCCAGCACAGATTCATCCATTGACAAATATATTTTCTTAAAACTTTGATAGAGACAGATTCCATGATATAACAATAATATTGGTCAAGCGCTTGATATGTTCTACTATATTTGAGAGTTAGCTCTAATGCACCAACAATACATCAGTAAATATTTTTTAGATTTTCTACGTGTCATTGTTGTTGTTACTGTTAGGTATTCTTTCAAGAATTTATATCACGTATCTTAATCTTTCCAATAACTGACTTGTAGGGGAGATCTACCAAATGCAATGCAATAAAAAAAACAGGTTCAATTGAGAAGAAGGAAGAACTGCCTTCAGTACTATTCAATCAACATCGCTAAACAAGTATACATATCTTTTCCATGAACATTAAATATCTGAATATTCATGACAGAAGAGATTGTGTTAATGCTAATTCTTTTTTAATTGTATGATAACAAACTTGATTTGATGCATGTTGTTTACTTTATGGAATTGTAATTGATGTTGTTGACGTTGACAAGTTAATTAAAATTCAAATCAATTAAAATAACAAATGGGTACGCATTAATTTTAAATTGAATTAGATAAAGCACATTATTAGTTATCAATATTAATGACTTTGTTTAATTTTTGCAAGACATTTATTCAGCAACTTGACTGTTAATATAGTATGTGGATGATCTACGTGTAACTTGCGTTACCTGATATTCAATTAAAAATATTTAATACTTACAAAATGAAGGATCATATGTTTTTGTTACGAGAATTCAAGGCTGATATAAGGTTTCATGTTTCAAAAGACAGTTAACCCCAACATTGTAGTAATAATGAAGTGTGTTGCGGACATGAATATCATCATATTTTTCTCAGTGTTGTTCTCTTATAAGTTCCATTTGTTTCGTACCTTGATTCCATTGCCTACATGAATAAGTGCATGTAAAATGGAGAGCTAATTATCATTACAAGCAAAGCTCACAAACAGACTCAGACTTTATTGTTCATTTGTTGCATTTGTATCGTTGTTCTAAAAAGATAATACAGCTTTATTTAAAATCTTTGCCTCTGTGACACATACATACTTTTATTAATTTTATAGTCATATAATTGGCATTTTAAAGTAATAAGTAGCTTTCATCTTAAGGGTACTGACAAAAAATTTATTAAAGGGCCTTTCATATCTAAGTTGTTGTGCCGATCAACTAGTATCGCATGTATATACAAACTGTTTACATTGGCGTTGAATGATTTTATCAATCTATTCAATCTGGCTAAACATAAAGTTCAGATAAACATTATTTCTTGTATGTAGCGTTATTTATAGATGATTTTAATCAAACTGTTAATCTATTGTAACTAATGTAAGTTGCAGAACACTGTGTTAATAACAATTAAACATATTTCTAAACATAACATTATCTTCCCTACAACCAGTTTTGACAAATCCTGATATTCACATACATAATATTTCCGAAACAATATTACAAAATAAATAATATATTTAAAAGATCACAATAACAGTCGTCATCATCTCAGTGGGACCTACAGAATTACAAGCAAAAGACGTTGACCAGATCATACTGATAATAGCAATAGCGCCATGGTCCCTGGCAGTCATTTATTGTAAATAGTAACATAATTGCTGCACATCGTAAACAATTAAAGTAAAGCATGAGATAAAGAGAATGGTACATTTATCGAAGATATTAAGTCTTAAAATAGGCGGATTTTTTAGAAGGGGAGTAACCGTAGTTATACTAATTATAAAAACTGTATTATTTACTTCCCGTTGACAGTGTACTTCTTTGGCTGTAAACGCTGTACATAGCTTTATTGTGATCGGTTTGCAAATATATTAAAAGAATAAGAAGTCATACAGCAATGGGAAAAACCTGTCATAATGAAATTATTGTAAGCCCTTGTAACTGTAAAATATCTATTTGTAAGACTTTGATCAAAAACGATGTAAAAATTGTTTCATTTCAACCGTAGCATGGAAGACATTTCTCGAAAGCTTTCGTACTTGTATCAATTATTTATATTTCAGTGTTATATATCTGTGTATTATGGTTTTAATTCCAACTTTAAACTTCCTACATAGACAGAATAATGATTTTGTTCGTTTCACATTTAAATAATAAGTGGAATATTATAATATTGTGTGGTCGTGCATGATAATTGTTTTCAAAATAATTATGAATTAGATTGTTTTGAAACATAATATTATTCTCAGTGATGTTCTCTTATTATTTTCGTAATTGATTCTATGGCCTACATTCTTATGATAAAGTTCACGTAAACCGGTGCTTGGGAGCGCCTATTATCTAGCTCAC